CACCAAATTGGAAAGTTGTCTTGAAATCGACAAAGGAACAGTACACATTTTTTATGTTGAAAATGACAAATTAACAAGAATAGGTAAGGTAAATGAATTGGCAAATGTGGAGAAAACCTTACAGAAGCCTGCCTCGAATTCATTTAGACGATAGTTAGGAAACACAAATTTTTCTAGCCGCCTTAGAAGCATATAATAATATTCGAAAAACCTATTGTTGCGCATAGAGAATAGATTTGTTTCTGATATGTATAGTTCTTGTAAAAGGGCAGTACAATTATTCATTAGTACTATTAAATATTATTTTTACATTTTGTCACTTTACCGAACTGTTTTGAAGAGGGCATGTAGCCTAGGTTTTTAGATCTGAGCAAGGCGTTTGATTAAGTTTCGTATAAACTGTTCAAAACCAAATTATTAAAGTTTTATAACATTTCTGATTTTGTCAAGATCAACATGGGAGTTCCTCAAGGATCGGTATTGGGCCCTATAACTATTTGTTTTTACGAATGATCTCCACTTAAACTTTCCAAGAATACTCTGATTTTGCAGATAACAACACCACAACAGTTTTTAATATGCCTAGAAGAGGCACGTATAATAAATCAAAATACTTTGAACGGACTGAAAAAATGAATTATGCTCCTAACTTCGATAAAACGCAGGCCCTTACACTAGTTTAAGGGACGCGTAGGAACTCCCGTCAAATTCTGATCTAGTCTGCCTACAAGGGCTTTAAAATAGAACCCAAACTTAACGGTACTGTTGCGACGGCTCATTTCTGTAGTATCCTCCAGTTCGTGATAGCGACGGAAGGCCAATTAAATTGTCTTGAGAATGTTAAGTGCATGTGACCGAGGGCATCTTCCATCTTCCAGCATTGCTATGATTCTCGCTAAATCTGGGTTTTATAATAACTAAGTAATGAGTTCTGCACCAATTTCAATAAATCAAAGATTGACTATTGAATGATTTATGTATAAAATCCCATTATAAAAGTAAATGAGAGTTTCTATTTATGTCTAGTTTGTTTTCATCCTTTAAAATCGGTGAAATATTATTGTGAGATTTTCTAAAAAGAAGAAAAATATTGAGGGTGATTACTTTTTTTGCGAACCACGTAGTAAATCTTCGTTCTATTTATCTCAGGCATTTAAAAAAAATACCGTTATTAATCACAAGGTCCTCAAACAATTATTCAAAAAACTGAATAAATTTACTGATCCCAGTGGCACATTTAATAGATTAAAATCTTGAAAGGATGACACACACTGACACATACAATTACAGCGGAATCTCTTTCACTGGAGGATTTGGCCGGCGAGAATTGTGAATTCCATGAGCACATTGAATTATTCACTTTACCCTCTCTCCAACCTCGACTTTATTAAACGAGAAGAAGTCTCATTGTTTAATCCGAATTAAATAATTTAGTATTTTTTTAATCATTTATATTACTAACAAACTGGAAGAAATGTTTTGGGATGTATAATGTGACCATAGAAGAGCTTCAACCACTGAAACCGGGCCTATTAATCAAGTTTCTTGATGAAATAGGACTCATCGATGTGTTTTAGGCAGAGCACGGGGGATACAATAGCTCTTAAAGGGCGCAGTATACTATACCCTGAAATTACATATACATCTACATCTACATAATTTATATAAGCCGATGATTTCTGGGTAAAGAGCATGTTTTGTTAAAATCAGACCGTTAAAATAGTAGATTAGATTATATAGGAGCCTCTTTACGTGTGTACCGCGACCAGTATTGGTCTGGTGAGCATCTCCTTTTTTTTCGTCTAGAGCCCCTCGTTAAACTTGAGGCTTTTTAACAGACACCAAAGATTTTTCATGGGCTCCCTTGTGTATCCTTCAGGCTTTTCCTCTCCCAGGATTAGGAATCTCAGTCTACATAGGCCTTCGCACCAACAGAAGACGTGTTACGCTGTTCCTTCTTATTATTATTGGCAATACCTGCACAAGGCTTGTTTCTGCCACTCCGAGTCAATACATTGCTCCGGAATCTGTAGTGTCAAGTTAGCAGTCCAACTATTATTCTAGTCCTAGCTCGTCCTAGATTTAGTCTTTCTGCGATGGTTCTTTTGTTAAATTGATAAGGGTCCAATAGGAGTCCTCGTTGAACTTTCCTTGGCCAATTTATCGGCCTCTTCGTTGCTCCTCCGCCCTGGCACCCAACAAGGTAATTTTGTTATTTTCTCCAATATCCCTCGGTGCCTCCTGGCTGTCCGAGTAGATTAATATATTGATAATTCCCAGCCTTTTTGTCTCCCTGGCACAGTGTTCAATAGGCATAGGTTCCGCTTGAAAAACGGTGGCTTATATGACTTCTAGTCCTTGGTTTATTTCCGTAAATGCCATTTACTGACTCAGATTCGGTTTTGGAGCCATCTGTAAACCAAATATGGTATTAACTGGGATCCTTTTCTCCCTGTCTGCTCTACATGATATTTTGATTAGAGCTTTTTTCTGAAATCTGAATTTGGCATCAGTGGGCATCCTCAATGTTCTGTCTAGCTGAAGATCCCCTCGAAGCTTTAGGTGATCCTTGATAAGTAAGTAGACTATTGAAGCATTAGCCCATGAATTGTGGTTCTGCCCTTTCCTTGGATAAAGATATGTAGTGGTGGATTCAGCCGTGGGGATTGTTCTCATTGCCTCAGTGATGCTCAGGACACGCCAGTATGTGAACAGTACTGAGGATCTGAACTGCCCTTAGCTGTAATGTCTTATTCCATCAAACCACTGATTCGTAGGCCATCATGGGTACCGCTGGGTATTGCCATCTTTGGATTCAGTCCCCTGCTTTTCTCACAATGGCGTTTGCATCTGCTTTGTTCGCTCTTTGTATGAATTTCTTTAGTTTTTGATTTCACGAAAGTCTCTGGTAGAAACAACTCCCAGATATTTGGCCGAAAATAACACCCAGATATTTGGCCTCTTTGGACAAAGGAATTTCAACTCCATTTAGCGTAAGGGGCTTTCACCTCCTCGTGCCTTTATCTTGGTAAAGGGAACCAGGATGGTTTTGTTAGGGTATATAGAAAGTCCTTCCTTTTTACACCATCTGCTTGTTATAGTTGAGTGCGTATTGCGCCAATATGTAGTGAACTACATCTTCTCTATAGGCATTTATTTACCCAACAGAGTTAAAAATTACGAAGATCATACCAATTTTCAAAAAAGGAGGCAAGTCGGATTTATCCAATTACAAGCCAATTGCTTTGCTGTCGGTGTTTGACAAAGTCATCGAAAGGTACTCTGCATCAGAATGTCTGATTTTGTCCACGAAATTGGATCTGTATATGAAAATCGATTCGGGCTTAGAAACACACTTTCGACATAAGCCGCATAAAATAATTAGTAGCATATTTGAATCTTTCATCTTTTTCCTTCATGAACATATTCTTGGATCTTTCCAAAACATTCGACTTGGTTGACCATTAGTGTTTACCAGTGTTGGGCAAAAATTAGTCATATCTAATGATTGATCACTCAGACCGTTAGTCATGTTTGGTAGTAAGTGACTAATTTAGTCATTAGTCGCCATATGTGATTGATGACTAAATTAGTCATGACTAGTAATTAAATACGAGACATGACTAATTTAGTCACAATATAGTGACTAAATTTCGATAAATCATGTTCAAATGGGTGCTCAAAAAATGAAAAATACACTTCATCACTTTTAAAAAATATTCTAACAGAAATTTATTTCATCAAAACGAAAATCCTTCAACACCTTATTTAACAAAAATCAATCTTCCAATTATAAGTAAAACTCCGTCGTTATGAAAAGTATAATAATAAAATAAAATAAAAAATCCTATAACAAGCTACGCTTTGAAAAGTAAATATGTTTACATAACCGATCAATGGAAAAATATTTCTTTGAATTAAAATTTATTCCACTTAAAAGGAGGGATTTCTACATTATTTGAAAAATACACAATCTAGGGGTGTTGATTGTAATAAAATAGACATGTAGAATAATTATGTAACTTTGGTTTTCGTTTATGATAACAATTTTTGAAGGTTGGCCTTGAGCACGACTCTCATCTCAAAATTTTTATCCGGAGTCGGTTGGATTTTGGTAAGTTGGTCATTGTAGCCAGAGTTGGGCAAAATCAAACTAATTCAATCATGATTAAGAAGTTTGATTGAAGTTTATTCATGATTGAATTAGTCATGAGTAAATTAATCATTATATGATTTAGTCATACCTCATGATTGAATTAGTTATGATTTAATCATATAATGATTAATTTATTCATGACTAATTCAATCATGATTAAACTCCAATCAAAATTCTTAATCATGATTGAATTAGTTAGATTTTGCCCAACTCTGGTGTTTACTTTGCAAGATGGAAAATATTTGAATTCGGGTTGTTCCTAATGATCATTTTGCTTTTTATCTGGATGATCTCCCCAACAACAAAATTCAGTTGGGGGAAGTCTTCCGAGATAGTGAGTATTACATGGTTCCATAGTTGGCCCTCTATTATTTTTAATATATATATTTTACGATCAGTTCCGATTCCAAAAGTTTCACAACGACGTCTCGATCCATCCTAATCCTACCGCTTGTACCATCTTTACACATTTCCATCCCAAGAACCTGCCATATCTCCTTAATCATTCACACTGCATGCCAGCATGGCTTCTCATGGCCTCCGGGTGCAGCACTGGTATTAGTGTGAAAAAAGTACTTTGATCATACTTGTAATACGTACAAATATATGTAGGTTATATAAACAAATTATATTCAATAAAAATATTTAAACCTTTTTTTAAACGTGTATTACCATTTATAAATGACAATACAATTTTAATTACATCTCTAAACTTTTTCAAGCAAATTTAGTCGATATTGAGCAACCTATATAGATATACACACAACAATAAAATTATTTTAAATAATATCAATTGAGCAAATAAAATTTATTTCAGGCAGACAGTTAAAATTTGAAAATGAACCTTGCATGAAGGGGATGAGCCGGCACATAAAAGGGCCGAAGACGAAGTCCTGCAGTATGGATCCAATGAGGGTGAAAGGCATGCACAGCACACCGAGAAGGAGGTCGGAAACTGCCAAGTTAAGTAGAAACACGTTTGTTACAGTCCTCATGCCTCGGTTGCGCACCAGAACCAGGATGACGAGGATGTTGCCGATGATACCTAGGAGAAATATGACGGCGTACAGGGGAATCTGCACCGTCCACCCTTTCCACCACATCTCGTCGCGCACCATCTGTAACGAAACGGCAACTTAAATTAACAGCTAAACAAGCACAATGAAGTTTCCGTCATATCAGGCAATAAACTATTATTCGATTAAAAAAAGATAAAGTAGAAATGAAATGAAATTTTTTATTCAATTAGTAATTGATGATTGACATCATCAATTGTTAATCATCGCTGGTCGATAATTCTCTGTGTGATAGAATAATCAATTAGAATCGATTTACATTTGTGCTGCATCCCGAGATATCACCAAAATGCGAAAGCAATAGGGATTTTTAACGTTCAAAATGTTTATTCTGTATCCTTATTATAATAATTTTATTTACAGTGTAGATTAGTATAAAAAGTTCGTTCAAACTATCACTCCAGAAACCCTGGACCCCAGCCCAACCCCCTGTCAAAAATTCTCATCTTGATCCCTTCTTGACAATTCTCTAAGACTCCTAAAGTTTCAATGGCAATTTCCTTCTAAGTCAGGAATGTGAATAGTATTCAATTAATTAAGGTTTTTAGTTGAGATAAAAAAGTCAGTGTCACGAGCGGGATTCGAACCCACGACCTTCGGCTTGATACGCCGCTACTGTAATCGGATCGGACGACATTTAAAAAATGGCAAAAACGTTTTGAGGGAAAATTCAAAAGGTGGGGTTGAGATGGGAAGTTGGTGCCCGAGGGGATCGAAGTCACGGTAGCTCAAGTGGTAGAGTAGCAGGGTAGCATGCCGAAGGTCGTGGGTTCGAATCCCGTTCGTGACACTGAGTTTTTTATCTCAACTTAAAACTTTAATTAATTGAATGTTATTAGTTGGTCAAGCGGACCACGAAAAATAGTGAATTTAATGTGAATAGTGTTGCGTTTGAAGTGTAATTATTGGATTACTTCTCCACATGTACTGTTATAACATAAAATTCATAAAGTCAGTTGCTTGTAGCGCTCTACTACTGTTGTAACATAACAATTTAATGTGTGGTGTTTAGTGACCGTTAGTTAATGATTATTTGGAGATCGTGAGATGCACTCTCAACACGATACAGAAAACGACACATTTACACAGAAAACAAGCACTTTGAGCCCTGAAGATGATCTCATTAAAGATGGAAACGTTGGCACGATAAAGAAAATGTTTTCCTAAAACCTTCGTCACACCAGACCGCATCTCACGATCTCCAAATAGTAACAATTTAAAAAAATTCCTCTCTCAGTCAACCATCATTAGTAGATTGTGGGAACACCCCGGTTTATAGGGATATGGTTTGTAATAGTTAAGCTAAGTTTAGAAGGGCATAGAGAAAATTATGTGGCTTAAGGCAATGCGGTCTGTTTGTTGTCCGAGGTCGATTGTCCGTTTGGATGACATCTCGGTCTCCGAAAGGTTTGATGATACACGTGCACAACGTTCGCTCGGAGTTCGTTGTATAGGCTCTAAAACCTTGTTACCTCGGCGTAGCTCGGCGAACTTGGTCTGCAGTTTTTGGTTATGGTGGGAACGAAGGGGCTCATTAGTTCAGGAGGTAGCTCGAGGTGGCTCGGTCTTTCCTCTGTTTTGTCGGTAAATTCTCCACACGTTAAAGGCCTGGGGCTAGATAGATGGCAAGACTCATTACACGTTCCCATGATCTGTTGTGGTATGTTGCAGTTGTATCGTTATATTCAGAATTTAATGCATTTTTCAACATCTATAAATCATAATAGAACATTGTACTAACGTTGATCTTTAAATCAAAACTGATTTCAATAAAACAAATTACGCAATGGGCGACTAGTGGCCCGTATAGGTAGTGACGTGCGATTCCAGAAAATATTCAATACCAGTACTCGATACTGGTACCGAAAGGAATATTTGATAGTACTCAAGTATGGACAGAAATTATTCGATATTAACGAGTACTTACTCATATGAGTACTTTGTCGTTAATTCATAAATGATCAACATACTATCGACTTGTGGGTAAAATACGCTCATGCGTTAAAATAAACAAAAATTTGCAGTTTTTTCATATTTTTAAGTATTTTTTCATACAGTGGATACGTAGGTAAGAACAAGGAACGCTGTCAAAAAAATTGATATTTCAATTTTATTGTTATCTAGTTTTGGGAAAATTGATCAACGGGTATTTTCTTTTCAAATGTTTGAAAAGATCAGACGATTTCCCGCACAGTTTACAAGATGCCGACAATTCAGCTTTCTTAGTAAAATAACCTCATGCCTTACTTTTGGCGAACACTTTTTACGTACTTGATGACAAAAACTTTGCTGGCACATGCCGCTTGTAGGCGTTCCTAACAGTTACTAGTCAACTCCCAGTTTGAAGAAAGGTATGTTTCGAACGTAAAATAACAATTCAATATTACTTGAACCTCGATGAAAAATTTGAGTACCGATACTACAAAAAGTACTCGATACAGTACTTGTATCGAATGACAATATTCGATACCAAAACTACTCGGTATCGAAAGAAAATACTCAATACTTTATCATATCGATTGGTATCGCCCGTCACTAGGTATAGGTTGATCAAGCCACAAGCCCTGGTAACAGGGCTTAATATCGGCTTGTAAGTAAGGAAGAGTGGCCGGTAGTTCGTGAGTAGTTGAGTAGTCGTGCAATGGTCGGGGGAGCAGTCGTCCTTTCCACAGCTTTGAGTTTCTAACCAAAAGCTACTAAACCTACATGGCCAATGTAAAAAAAGAAATAAAAAGCTGTTCGGTTTATAACAATTCATTTTAGAATATTTTACATAAATTAAGGCAAACTCGGTGTGGTCATCATGATTTTTGTGTTGATTGATTTGCACTCATAACACTGGCGCTTTTAAAATTTTATATGAAACATATTGCTTTTGAACATTGTATTTTTCTGAACGATGTATGTGATTGGTTCTTGTAAGCTGGGAAAGATGGCTTCATTTTTTAACAGAAATGTTCACAATTAGCAATATTTTCAATTATGTCTATTAAGTTGTTTCCTTTTTTGTAAATTAAAGTTTTAGTCCTTTTACCAAAGATAACTGTTATTTTTTTAAAATTAGTAACTACGTGTAGAAATGTGTAGAGATTAGTGACCGTTAATCGATAGTTATTCAGATATCGTGAGATGCGGTCGGGTGTGATGTAGGTGTCAGAAAAACATTTTCTTTATCGTGCCAACGTTTCGATCTTTTATTGAGATCATCTNAAATGTTTTTCTGAAACCTACATCACACCAGACCGCATCTCACGATATCTGAATAACAATTAGTAACTACCTCACAACACAATGTTTTCGTAATTCTCGAGTCATATCCCAGTGTAGAACGTTCATCGGCTATAATTGTCTTGTAAGTCCCACAGGAAAAAAAATCAATATAAATCCCTGTTGCAGTGTAATAAAATATACTCAGTGTGACGAGCGGTTTCCCTTTTTTCTTGCGCGCGGCTCGCGGCTCGTTCGAATACCGTCGCTCGCTAGAGTGCTCCGAGAGGGTAGCGAGCTACTCCACTCTAGGCCCGTCAAGCCTTTTAGGGTTAAGATTTGTCAGGTTACCCGGCTTGACGGGTGAACACACTTTACTTACTACTAACTCTGGACAAGGAGGTTTGGGGGAAAGATACACCAATTCAGACAGAACAACAGGTCCCTTTATTTGATATGACTGTACAATTCCCAATATGTATAATCAACTAGTGAATAACGCCCTAACCCTGCTTATAAATAGCAACCCTTATTTCTTATTAAACAATTCATATACAAAACTTATTACTGGAAGAACTCATGCTCTTACTCTCTTTAACGAAACCTTAATACTAGGGGCTTAATTATTGGGATCGTAGTACAATACTAAAAGTAGCCCGAAATCGCCCAACTGTTCTCCAAATCTCCCGCAAACCAATTGACAATATTTGTACTCAAAGGACTGGAATACGTGCATCGATTTCGTCGGTTCGGTGGTACGGATCCTGCGAACTACGCTGAGTAATCTGCCGCACCAGTTCCCATTTTTACTCCGTTTGACAGACTCACTCGTCGTCTCCACGGGACACTCCGACTGACTCAACTGCGGATTCTCTCTTCGGGCTCCACCCGGATTCTCTCCGATTGTCCTTTTTATATAGATCCGTTCAGGGAGGAGGTGGGGAACAGTTGCATTTCGAAAATACTGCTATGCTTCCGGATGACCCGACTGCCCTTTGTCCTCTCCAGGTCATTGAGCTATTTCGGATGAATCCGGGCATCAGCTAATCCTCAGGGTTGAGTAATAAGGCCCCTCGTCAGCACAACATCCAATTTTTCTAGGGTGATTGCCCCGGGATCGAATTTCTCAATCGAAAACATTCACCTGTTATTTCGCCAGCTTTTTTTTTTTAGCTGCGTCTGGAGTTCTCGAGAAAGACCGGGTCGGCTCCCGCGATTCCAGGCCACCTCCGGTTACTCATCCCGGCACAATACGCTTTCCCAACAATTAGCTAACCCATTTCTACGTCTAATTTTAATATTTATAACAAACTTAAATTTTTCTGGGGATCTTCACACTCAGTTTGTTATTTGATTGCATATTAAAAAATTACTGCACTATATAAAGGGTTTTCCGTTTCTTGCGATCGATCGCCAAAGCCTGACTGGAATTTCTTTCACATGCCTACTTGCTCATCTCGTCGCATTTCATATGCGATTATCGTTTGGCCGGATATTTCTCCATTCTCACCATTCCAGAAAAAGGTATAAAAAACAAATACAACTGAAAGTAAAAAAAAGTTATTTTTACTTTATCTTAGAGGAATAGTTGATTATTCATCAAGAATCAATCAAACCATTAATCATATTTTTATTGTATCATTGAATAAATTTTCAGGTCAATCTTAAATAAGTACGATTGAAATAATCGCAAACCTTTAAAGCAATTTAAGTTACTTTCAATATCGGTTTGCAAAATATCTTTTCGAACAGAGTCTTTTTCATTTGATATTCATCACAGCAAAAAGCTTTCAGGTAATGTTCTTGTAAATAGCAAAAGGATGAACGTTACACAC